TTTCTAGCCTTAGAGCATCCTTTTTGGTGCACGTCTGGAGATAATGACTTCCCGTCATGGATGACAGACACTTTTTAGCTTTTGATTGCTAAAATTGCAATAAAAGGTCACCAGGTTTTGAACAATTTGACATTTAAGAGACATTGCACAGGGATTTAATCACTTCTGATTAATGTGAATCCAATTGGCTGCATAATCAGGCTCCACATTGTGTCAGAAGTGCCGACAGACACTCAGCCCTTCATCCTGTTTCTTATTATTAGCCACAGACAGCTAACAAGAGAAAAGAAAGTTTTCTCGCTGTTTGAGTAGAACGAGCTGGTTATTTCCACCTAAAGCTAACTGGCATTTGTCTTAATTAGATTTAGAATTAGATTTGATAATAGTATTTTTGCCATTTGCAGGCAGATGTGATAAAACCTTCATTTTGGGACTCAAACTAGCTGCTAGCAAACGGGAGACGTAAAGCTACGAGGAAAGAAACCAGCGGCTCAGAATCGGAGATTGTTTATCAGATCACAGCCAGTGTGGTTACAGATGTTAATTACAGATGTTAATTACAGATGTGTGGACTCATGTGTCGTCTTCTTTGGTCAGGAAAAAGTAGATTAGCCCTTTAAAGCCCGTTCCAAAAAGAATTAGAGTGAATTTTTAAAATAATTTTTGATCGGAAGACTTTATTTAGGCCCTTTAAGAAACTATTTTTAAAAAGTCTGAAAAAATGTTTTGATATCTATCATTTATTATCATTGTGATAAGTCAAAATTATTGTCATGTAATCTTCTGCCCGCTGTTATCAGGTATAGCTGATTGTGTACAACAGTGTTTTAAGCCAAGTTTTTTACCATTAAATGATGAAAAAAGATTTCAGAATCTTTTTCGGCTCGAAATTTTTTTATTTACAGAGTAAATCAATTTAATCCGTCACTCCTTTGTCTGGTCAATAGGTCTAACTAATTTAGCCTCCAGTTATAAAGGGACATTTCTCCATGAGTGGAGTTAATTTTGGTATGTTTTCAGGTTCTCCAGGGGTTGCATGGTGGGCAGAGGTCCCCGGTTTGAATCCCACTGGTTCTTTTTCTCCCCTCTGGATTCATCCAACACGAGCAACTAAGCCGATTAGACTCCATTTTATTCCTTTTCTTTTGCAGCATTGTGCGGATCCTTGAGGTGCAAAACGCTGGGATCTGTGCTGTTTTCAGACAAGCCTTTGCTCTTCCTCAAACCAACACGTTTGAGTTTTTAATATCAGTTTAAAACAGAGAAAATATAGTCGGAAATTAAACTTGAAAGAGGCTGAAAGGGAAAACTAAAAATAGACGATGACACTTTAGTCTTTGTACTGTCGTCTGTGCTTGCATTCGTTTCCATTTTGTGAATTTTGTGTCTGTTTTTGGTCCCTTGGGAACCCAAAAACCCAAACAAACCTCTGATGGTGGGAAATAAGAGTATGAGTGGATCGAGCTGATCCAGTCTGGGTCTCTGACCGACATTAAGGATTCAGGGACCCGGTGACGCGATGGGATGTGAAGGCTGCTGGCTTTCTCTGGAAGGCTGTCAGCAGAGACGGGGCCTCGTTCATCCTGGTTATGAAACCAGCTGACGAATGCAGAGTCAGGGCACAGAACCGTAAATAAATTAGGGATTGAAAGGGTTCATCCACATAGGATCCAGACCCTTTTTACTGGGGATCCGGAGTCCCTCAGGGTTCCATTTCAGGTCCCATTTCTTCCTATTATTACAACTATATTTCCAAAAGTATTCACTCACCTGCTTCTATCTATCTATCTATCTATCTATCTATCTATCTATCTATCTATCTATCTATCTATCTATCTATCTATCTATCTATCTATCTATCTATCTATCTATCTATCTATCTATCTATCTTATCTCTCGTTTGAGCTTAAATGATGTCCCATCCTTAATCTAAAGGGTTCAACGTGTATAGTAATGTATTTTCTTTCATATCAGGCTGTTAAAGGTAAAAAAAAGCATGGAATTTTAAAGATAATAAATTCAGATGAGCAGTTTCCTGTAACGATGGCCCGTAAAAACTTGGGAAAAGAAGTTAAAATGAACAGCGTGGTGGTTGAGAACCACCAGTTGGGTCATTATTCTGACTAATACTTTGGGTGTTGCACTTAATCATTTGGTCCATTAGCGGTAAGCTGAGAAACTGGTAGGAGAGCATCTGAGATTATCTCCGTCTGACTTCTGGGCTCTCTGCCCCCTCAGCTCTGTCACATCTCCTCTCCGTCACATCGGGGATCTCATGTGTACGCAGCAGCCATTTTTCATGTTTCTCTCCCGCCTGCCGGCGTGCCAACGGCGCCCCGACACAAAGCGCCGCCCGCTCTCCCTTAATGCTCTTTTTTTTTAACCAGTCGAGGCTAAATTATAGGCTGTGTTTCTGGAGGAAAGTCAGGAACTAAAGGGAGTCAGAGCACGGCTAACAAGGAAGCTATTGAAGCTAATGAAGAAAGTGAGACGGAGGAGGAGAACTAGTGGTCCTCGTCTCTACTGGGGTCTTGGGTTCTGGGTTGGAGTCCCCGGGGGAACCAGGACCAGAGGGTTCTGGGTTGGAGTCCCCGGGGGAACCAGGACCAGAGGGTTCTGGGTTGGAGTCCCGGGGGGAACCAGGACCAGAGGGTTATGGGTTGGAGTCCCCGGGGGAACCAGGACCTTTCTGGGTGGAGTCTGCAACCCCGTCTCTTTCACTCTGATACGGCTAAATTTCCTGAGATGTGGTGTCCGATAGAGTTTGTTGGGGATTTATATGTCTTGAATAAACTACAAAGCCTGATCCGATAACCCAACACTTTTTAAAAAATCTGAAGTCAATTTCAACTACAAGTGAAAGTATAAACAAGTAAATGTAATTTTCAGTATAATCAATTTTCAATCACATTCAGTCAATATTTTCATGTACATTTTTACCAAAAGGAAAAAAATGCTCTATTAAGAAGCATTAAAGGGTTAAAATACCAGTTGTTTTGCTTATTAATCAGGATCTTAGATTTGTGTCGCAGATGCAGATAAAAAAAAATTTAATGTGAGAAAGCTAAAAAAAAAAACATCATCCAAGGTACCCAAAAGATCAGAGAGCGAAGCAAGAAAAACAAACTACAAAAATAGACGCAGAACCATCAGACTTATTCGAACAGGAAGATACTTAAAAACTCAAACTCAAACTCAGTCCCAGATGATGACATAAGCAGAACTAAAGGGAAACTCACACCTGGTTGGAGATGTGAGCTCAGCAGTTTGGATGAAAAAACCCAAACCCGAAATGAACTAATTAGTCAGACTGTGTTTGTTCTTTTGGGCCGAAGGCTGAAACCAGTGCACACAAAGCTAGTTTTTCCCACCTTTCAGAGACACTCAAACATCGGCCCTGAAGTCTCTGTGCTCTCATCTGGTTCATCTTGCTGTTTCCATAGTTTCTTTTCAAGTTCCCAAGAGTTCTTCTTTTCAGATTTATTTCCCTCAGTTTTCACTGAGACTCCGATCAACTCTTTATTAGTTTATTCTAATACAGGTGCTTTTTCATGTATTTCTTTCTCCCAATATTTCCAAATAGCTCCATTTAGATTTATTTTGTCAATAGAAAATAATTTTAGAAATATTTTAGCTTTTTGGTACTTCCTGACTCCTTTTTTTCTGCATGGAACCTTAATTGTTTTGGTATTTTTCTTCCAAATCACATAAATTAATAGCCTCCAAACGTCTTCAGTGTTTTAATGTAAGCATCTCAGATCCTTTTTTCCATCATTGTCAAAAAGAAGTGTCCTCGCCTTCTGTTTTTTTACACAGTTAAAACTGTTCAAGTGTTTTTTCCACATCTGTGCCCATAACTCTGAATAACAAAAGACAGAAATATAACTTTCTTAAGTGGATGGACTTCAGGATTATATATAGAAGCACTTATATATTTCAGCCGTGTTGCAAATGATTACATCTTAGCTACAGAACTATGGAAACACAGAAGAGGTGGTTACACACATGCAGGAAGGTGAGAAAGGAAATTTCACAAGATACCTGACTTAAATAGTATTTTCTCATATTTGCTGGCTCTCTGGAACCGGCACCAGATGGGTTGACATTATTACATCACCGGAGTTTAATCTGTTTAGCTGGAAATGAAAAATGGCCTTTTCTAAGGTGATTTATGCTTTTACTCATCTATGAAACATTTAGGGACCGGGCAGAAGGTAGTTTTTTTATTTCGGGGTCTTCGTTATTACAGCGTATCCCAGCAGGGCGTCCATTATCTCTCATCTCTCTTCTATCGTAAGCATAATTTTTGTGGACGGACTTGTTTTAGAATTAAATTGTGTTCTGTTTGCTTCACTGACATGTTTCTACGACATTGAAACGACAATAAAACCACATCTAGGATCTTCTCTGCGTTCGTGCTCCGGTTTAAATGCTGAAACTCTACTCACTTAATCCCATTATAGTATTGTAATCTGAAAAAAAAGGAAAAAAGACAGACTCCTTGTGTCTGATTCTGTGTTTAGGTGCAGTTCCTTTAAATAGCCTCTCCCAAAAAGACCCATTTTGCTCAGATTATCGGTCAAAACTTGTGTGAGTGTCTTTGTTTCAGATGATACAAAACAAAGTGGAAGTCAAAAATCTATTTTGTTTCATGGTTCTCGTGTTAAGTGAAGGAAGGAAATCAGAGACTACAAACGGGGCGTTCAGGAGCAGCATCCTCTGTGGGAGAAGGCAGAGTGTCTTCTTTTGGTGTTGACTGAGGCCTCTGGAAAAGCTCGCAGGAGGAAAGAAGAACCATCTCCTCTCTTTGAAGCCATCTGCATCATTTAAAGCTTCTTTTTTTCCAACCTGCCACAGAGCGAACAGATAAAACCGCAGCTGCAAATGTAGAAATTCCGTGTTTCTGGGCTCAGAAATGGGTCTTAATGAGCTCATAACAAAGTCCCTGTGAGACACACAGAGCTGCTGCTGCTTTTGTCCTTCGCTGACACACATCGGTTCTGCCCCCGATTCCTCCCCGAGCCCACAGACGTTCTCCTCCTCACGGAGGAGAACCAGGACCTGCCGGACCTGTTGGCACGGTAACGGGATCCCGGTGTGAGCGGGCCGCCCGGCCATTAGAGGTGCCAAACGGCCAGCCGGTGGGGAACGAGAGGGGAAGGGGAAGAGGTGGAACCAGGAGAACTAGGAACCAGGAGGAGGTGAAACCAGAAAGAGGTGGAACTGGAAGGAGGTGGAAAAGGGAGTAGTTGGAACCAGGAGGAGTTTGAACTGGGAAGAGTTGGAACCGGGTGGAGTTAGAACCGGGAGGATTTGGAATCGGAAGGAGGTTGAACCAGAAGGTGGTGGAACCAGGAGGTGGAACAAGGAGGAGGTGGAACCAGGAGGAGTTGGAACCAGAAGGTGGTGGAATTAGGAAGTGGTGGAACCAGGAGGAGGTAGAACCGGGTGGAGTTAGAACCGGGAGGGGGTGGAACCAGGAGGAGGTGGAACCAGGAGGAGGTGGAACCAGGAGGAAGTGGAACCAGGAGGTGTTGGAGCCGGGAGGAGATGGAACCAGAAGGTGGTGGAATTAGGAGAAGGTGGAGCCAGGAGGTGGTAGAACCGGGTGGAGTTAGAACCGGGAGCGGGTGGAACCAGGAGGAGTTTGAACCAGGAGAAGGTGGAACAAGGAGGAGGTCCGGAGGAGGTGGAACCAAGAGGAGTTAGAACTGGGAGGAGGTGGAACCCAGAGCAGGAGATGGGAGAAAAATTGCTGCATCTTCTTTGTTGTGGCTTATGCATTCATGCGTATATGTTCGTGCATTTGTTTACGTGTAAGAAAAGCTGATTTAAGTGCTTCCGTCCTGTGATCACTGAGCCTTGAGCTTATATTTGCTTTCACCGGGTTCATTTGTACTCAGGGGTCTCTTCAGAGATGCTAATTCGTGTAGCATGTATGTTTTTGGACTGGGAGGATTTCATGTCTTTGTCTTGTTAAGTGGGAAATGCCATAACGTCTCCAGAGGAGACCCTAGTCAAAAAGAAGATTTACACACAGAAGACAGGGATTTGGGTTTAGAGGAACAAGCTTTTAAATTCTTTTTACTTAAAAAACGTATGTCTTAGTCAGTGTTTTGGCATCAAAATGTAGGATTTGAACGCATCTATTCAATATAATAAAGCTTAACTTTATAATAGATAATCTCCCTTATATATTAGATAATCTCCTTTACTCTATTAAATGTACAGATACAGGACTTTATCTGTAAGTACATCTGTAATGCAACATTTTACCTAGTTATACTTTAGGATTATCAGTGGAGAACATAAACAGAATTTATAGAGAACAATCAGCAACTGAAGCAATCCTGTTTAGTTTTCCACAAAACATGAATCTGTACATGGTTGGTGATAAAATATGTTTCCTTTACTTCAGATAAAGGTGATTAGACAGTGAATCGATGTCTTTTTGTTCCCTTTCATTAGTGAGGAGCAGCAGCAGATGTTTTTCCATCTCCTGATCCTCTGTTCTACTAAATAAGAGATGTTTTAAACACAGTATCTGTCACATCCCCGGCTTCCTCTCACTGTTCCTCTGTAGCCTTTTGGTATTCAACAAAATAGGCATCTATTGTATGAATGTTTTATTATTCCTCTCTGCACAGGGCTGAGGAGCTTTTTGTGGCACTGTGTTGGAAAATAACAAGACAGTGAGAGAAAATGAATGCTCGCAGATTCACCCCAGCAACAGCAGATTGAAATTAATTTGACAAAAAAACCTGAATGACGGCTTATCTCTGCGGCTTAATTAGTGAACACCTGTGTGAGAGATGCTTTTCCCTGCTGTTTATTTACATTCATCTCATTCATTTCTTCACTCGTACTGCAGAAAATAGATGGCTTTTGCTGTTTCGAACTAAATATTAGGTTAAAGTGACACCAGGCCAACATTCAAAGCTACATGCTAAAAAGTTTATCATGTAACAGTCAATGCTAGCAAGCGTTAGCATTTATTGCTACTAGCTAAACTTCTAATTAGGCATGTAGCTGTTAATGCTAGCATGTCCACGGTTAGCACTGTTTGCTAATGGACATCTCCAGTTTAACATGTAGCAGGCAGTACTAGCAAGCATTAGCATGTATTGCTAGAGGCAAAAATTTCAACTGGTCATGTTGTGTTTAATGCTAGCATGTCCATGGCTAGCACTGTTTGCTAATTGACAAATTTTAAGTTTAATATGTAGCAGGCAGTGCTTGTAAGTGTTTATTGCTCGTTCGGGGACTTAGGTGGTCTGTGGTTCTTGACTAATTCTTTCTTCTTGACATTAAATACCCTACCGTCAACAGGCAGACACTTATTTTTTATTCTTTGTGTATCTGAGCTCTGTACGGCCGTGATTCAGACCTGTGAGGAAAACGGGCTGAAAACGTCAGCAGCTCTCTGACTTCATTCGACCATCCTACCTTTGCGTCCTTTATAAATATGGACCGCGGAGAGCTGGTTGTTACTGTAATGAACACATTAAGTGCTCTGAGCTGCCCACACGGTTCACGGCTCTCTGGGCTCTGTGCAGGTCTGCTAAGCAAGTGTTTTTTAACCACCGTGCCTCGGCACACTAGTGTGCCGCGAGTGATGGTCAGGTGTGCCGTAGAAAATCATCCTATTTCACCTAATTGGTCTAAAAATGCTTTTTGATAAGGAATTAATTATCTGCAAATAATATGCCATTTTTGCTGTACTAGTGACTGGTGGAGTAATCATGTAATAATTCCTTATGACTAGATTTTGTATATAATTTTATATATTGAAGTGGACATGTTAAGTGCAATTTGAAAGAAGAAATATAAAATATGATGAAAATACATTTTTGTTTATTTGATTCCTATTCAAGACACTTAAGATAAGATAAGAATAAAATAAGAATAACTATAGTGTTACTATAGGCGGCTACAGATTTGTTTAACATTTTTGGTTGGTGGCGTGCCTCGTGATTTTTTCAATGAAAAAATGTACCTTGGCTCAAAAAAGGTTGAAAAACACTGTACTAAGCACGGGGGGGGGCTTCATCTCTGGGGAACGAACAGGGAGCGCGTCCGAAGGGCCGCTGGGACCCCGAGAGCTCCTACAAATGAGCCCAGAGGGCCCGGAGATGGAGTGGATATTGTTAGACCGGATGGGGAAGAGAGGGGGAGGAAATCAGGCTGGATGAGGCTGGATGAGGCTGGATGAGGCTGGATGAGGGATATTTTGGGTCGCAGAGGCAGAGCGGAGCAGCGTGAGCTCCGTGTGATGAATGACTTACTTCTGAGCTGCCAATTAGACGAGCACAGTCAACATGAGGAGTCCTGAGTCCTTTAATTAAGCAACCAATCAGCTGACGCTGCTGTGTCTGCTCTGTAGAGGCTGCAGATGTGCTCATCCTCAGATATATAAATATATATAGACGGGATATATTTGAACCTTTAAAAGGGTTTATGGCTAAAATCCTGACAGGATAGATGATTGAGTCAGAATGCAGATTCTTCACAGCTTAGTTTAACGGTGTGTTCAGGCTCTGCGTTTTGTTTTGTTTTTGTGGATAATGAGTATATTTTTTACACTTTGAAAATGGATGGATGGATCCCACCCAAGTCCTCAGAGCCAGATGTCCCAATTCTAAGTCTCTAACATGTACACAGTTTCATTTATACGCTTATGCAATTCTTCTTTTGTGTTGTTTCCAAACCAAGGGGGAACTTTGCATGAGCTTTAAAAAAATGAAATACAGTTTGGAGGCATAATGAAGCAGCTTATCTGAGCTGTTTGGGGTCACACTTCAGCTCTTTTATCATGAATTAAACCTACCAAAGCAAATGTATTTATTTATTTAGTCATTTATTTATTTATTAGTTAGTTTTTTTACTTATTTTTTGTATTTATTTTATGTTTATATTTATTTTCTATTTTGTTATTTATTGATTCATTGGTTTATATAAAATAAATATTTACTTATTATTTTTTATTCTATTATTTATTGCTTGATTATTTTTCGTTGTATTTATGGCTTACATGTTGCATTTTATTCATGCATGTGACTATGTTTCCATGCACCCTAAATGGGTCGGCAGACCGGTTTTGTTTCACACATCGATTCATCTGGTCTAAACTCACCAGAATACTCCGTTTTCCTCCAAAGGAGCTCACACATCTGTGTTCGACCACATCTGTGTGGTTCAGTTTGCACGTTGTGTCGCCAGAGGAGCGTTTTTCTCTGCACACGCACACTCTTTTTTTTGCCTTTGTGTGCCCGTGTGCGTGCACGTACGCGTGCACGTACGCGTGCCCGTGCTGGTGGGAGGCTTGTTGGACGCTTTTCTGAGACCCAGCGCGGAAGAGAGCCTCGGATTGGCCGATTCTCCGTTCCCCTCGCTCTGGAAACGCGGGGAAAATAGCTCAGAGGAGGGAGGCAGCGGATGGAAATAGCTCGGTAGGCAATCGCTGACTCACCAGGCGGAGCCGGGAGTGAAAACGGCCTCCATCCCAGAGCCTCACACAGCCGAACCGTTGTGTAACTCCCCCAGCTACCCGAATCCAGCAGCTCCCGGGGGGGGAAATCACAACCAAAACAGCAGCCGGGCCAAGAGGAGAGGGGCAGAGTTCAGGGGATCTGGGGTTTAAAGTGTTCCCAGATCTGGAAATGTGGGGTTTAAAGTGTTCGCACGTCTGGAAATGTGGGGTTTAAAGGGTTCGCACGTCTGGAAATGTGGGGTTTAAAGTGTTCGCACGTCTGGAAATGTGGGGTTTAAAGTGTTCGCACGTCTTGAAATGTGGGGTTTAAAGTGTTCGCACGTCTGGAAATGTGGGGTTTA